AAAGGATTCCCTGTTTAATAAATGGTGTTGGGAAAACTGGCTAGCCATGTGCAGAAAGCAGAAACTGGACCCCTTCCTGACACCTTACACTAAAATTAACTCCAGATGGATTAAAGACTTAAACATAAGACCTAACACCATAAAAACCCTTGAAGAAAATCTAGGCAAAACCATTCAGGACATAGGAGTAGGCAAGGACTTCATGACCAAAACACCAAAAGCATTGGCAACAAAAGCCAAAATAGACAAATGGGACCTAATCAAACTCCACAGCTTCTGCACAGCAAAAGAAACAGTCACTAGAGTGAATCGGCAACCAACAGAATGGGAAAAAATTTTTGCAGTGTACCCATCTGACAAAGGGCTGATATCCAGAATTTACAAAGAACTCAAACAGATTTACAAGAAAAAAACAAACAATCCCATTCAAAAACGGGCAAAGGATATGAACAGACACTTTACAAAAGAAGACACGCATGAGGCCAACAAACATATGAAAAAATGCTCATCATCACTGGTCATTAGAGAGATGCAAATCAAAACCACACTGAGATACCATCTCACGCCAGTTAGAATGGCGATCATTAAAAAATCTGGAGACAGCAGATGCTGGAGAGGATGTGGAGAAATAGGAACACTTTTACACTGCTAGTGGGAGTGTAAATTAGTTCAACCATTGTGGAAGACAGTGTGGCAATTCCTCAAGGACCTAGAAATAGAAATTCCATTTGACCCGGCAATCCCATTACTCGGTATATATCCAAAGGAATCTTAATCGGTCTACTATAAGGACACATGCACACAAATGTTCATTGCAGCACTGTTTACAATAGCAAAGACCTGGAACCTACCCAAATGCCCATAGACTTGACTGGGAAAATGTGGCACATATACACCATGGAATATTATGCAGCAATCAGAAAACAATGAGTTCATGTCCTTTGTAGGGACATGGATGAACCTGGAGAACATCATTCTCAGCAAACTTACACAAGAATAGAAAATGAAATACCGCATATTCTCACTCATAGGCGGGTGATGAACAATGAGAACACATGGACACAGGGAGGGGAGCACTACACTCTGGGGTCTATTTGGGGGAATAGGGGAGGGACAGCGAGGGGTGGGGAGTTGGGGAGTTATAGTATGTGGAGAAATGCCAGATATAGGTGAAGGGGAGGGAGGCAGCAACTCACACTGCCACGTGTGTACCTATGCAACTATCTTGCATGTTCTTCACATGTACCCCAAAACCTAAAATGCAATTTAAAAAAATGTAAAGTATCTTAGCCATGTACACTGCCTGTTAATTAATAGAGCTAAGACTTGGACTTAGGTTTTTCTGACTCCAAATTCAATTTTTAAAATTAGAATTTTAAAAATGCCCTACAAATATAATTTCTATTAACAAGGTATTACTTAACATAATTTTTAGAACTGTGCACTGAAAGATCCTCCAGATCACAAATCTTATTTAAAACTCTCTCTTACTTTCTCCTCTAACAAATACAACCAGTTCATTCTCTCCAATTGACCTCTTTTCAATACAGGCCACCACACCAATAGATTATCCTATGCTCTTATTCAAAGAATTGTTTTGCTAAGAATTATGCATTCCTACTAGTGAGTTTGTTGTAGATTTTGTGGAATTAAGCAGAATGCAGTAGAATTTTAAATTGATTTATCTGTCTTTATCTCTAATGGCTTTTCATTCATAATTATAGTATTTGTAATGAGTGCATTCATGATGACAGAAATCCACCATAACATATTCCATTGTCTGAATTAGCTTCAGACCCTTATTTAATGACTTATTAATCAACCACAGTCTGCCAACAGTGTATCACATTAAATCTATGAACAACACAAGGAAAGAATTTCTTTTTTCTCTCTATGTAACCCATGGAGCAATATTTAACAATATGAATCTGTTCAAACATCCATCCACAGTTCTATTACATCTGCAGTTCTATTAGTAAAGGTCAGTCTAGGTTAGTTCACTGTCAGCAGCCAGAAAGGTGCAAGAATAGATTAGCTTAATTGCTTTATTGTTACTATCACTATGATTATTTAGAATGCTGGTACATAAGACTTCCAAGATACTAATCTCCATTTAGGTTACCAAGAAGCATTAGTTAAGTTTGGATTCTTACTGAGAGCCACCCTAATTATTAATACTACAGATGAGCACATCTAAGACACTTCATAAATCAGTAATGGGTAATGTATATTATAATTACTTTACCACCTATTCCACTTCTACCATCCTTAGAATTTAAGCAGTTAATCAATGAATATAATATCCCACTGGGCATTCATAGCCAGTATCTATAGATACAGAACAACAATATTATGCCTTTATCTAGATAAAGTATGAAAATGCTAAAGTAAATGTATAATTTTGTTAGCTTACTTGTTTATGGAGAGCAAGGATTCTCAACTTTGCTGCTCACTGAAATCACCTGGAGAGCATTACAAACTATTCATGCCTGGGTTCCACCCAGAAGCGAACAGAATTGGCATAGGGAGCAGTGTGGACACGGATTTTTAAGTTACCCAGATGATCGCAAAATTAAGAAAAGCCATGGTCTATAATTACATGGGGTGAGTGACAGGGAGAGAAAGAGATAAAGAGAGAGCAAGAGTGAGTGCACATGCTGGGGGCAGTTGGGAAGAGAAGGTTAAAAATTAAAAATCTTTGTACATAAAATTGGTCAGGTGAGACATCAACTTTCCTGGTAGGAAAATTATGTTTAAAATTCTGAACACTGAAATCAAATTAATGTATAAATGCATTATTTTATTTGGTACTCACATATTTTACTCTTCTTACAAGTAAGTTAAACCTTGTTTCAAGTACTAAGGATTCAAAGATGCCTTTCTCTTAGGGAGTCTTAAGTAGCAATGGAAATTTTCTGATTAAGACAGAATGAAAAGGCTTATCAATTTTCCTACCTGACTGAAAGCTAAAACCTTAATTAAAATAATTATGATTGTATTCCACAGATGCTAAAATACACTTCATTGGCATATTTTGAACATGTTTGGTTTTGTTTCACCTTTATATTATTGGGGTAAACTATATGGCACATGTACTTTTTAATTATTGTATTTCTGTACATCATTTCTTCTGTTAACCTCTGTTTAATGAAATTTTGTAAAGATTTCTGAGCCTAATTCATAGATTTTAATGTCTTATTACTGCTAGGCACTCTGTATGTCTGTGTACCTGCCAGTGAAACTTGAATTCTTCAGTGGCATGGCCTTTCTTATTGTTGCTAGTGGTCAACATTCACTAGATAACTAAATTAGCTCTTAAACTGAAAAAGAAAAATCTATAATGTGTCCTCTTTCTAGAGTAGGAAATAACAGCAGAAGAATTCACGACAGTCTAGATACATTGCCATAGCCACAGATCCTGTCTTTTTTCTAATTAGCAAAGGGTTTCCTTGGGAACTAAATTACTATTCCTCATTCATCCCTCTGCCTCCTTCCTCCTTGTATTCAGGGAAAGTAGAAAAGTTACTTTCCACACAATACTAGACATGACATGAAGTTGCCAAGATTTTTCTAAACCACCCCTTTAAAAGGGCTAATATGCCTTTTTTCTTCATAAAAATTTAAACATGTTTTAACAGAACAATTTCTAAAAACAGTTAATTATTTCCACATAGTATTTGCCAACTTTTAAGTCTTCTTTTTAAATGTTCATGATCCCAACTTATTTTTTTTAGCTCCCTTGACTATAGAAGACCCTCTGAATGATAACAAACAAACAAAAAAACTTTCTGCTCCACGTTTCAACTTGAAGTAGCCAAATTCTAATGTCCACAGCAGGCTTTTCTTAGTCAATCGCTGCATAATCGAACATTTATTTTTCTTTTGCTTTACAAAAAATTTTCATTTTTTTCTGCTTTGTACTCTGACTCAAAGCCTCCCTACATGTGTTATGCTGATTGTTTTATTTGTTACTCAAACAGAAAAAACACATTTCTTTAAAACATTTTTCATACAAGTAATTGTAGCACATTATACAAAATTAGGGAAATATGTGGGGGGAAATCACCTAAAATTGTACCACCTTTTAAATCATTCTTAGCATTTTGATGTATTCCCACCAGTCTTTTTCTTTTCTGTTCACCTGTGTCGACACATAATCATATTGCAGATTCATTTTTGTACTATGTGTTTTCCAGTTACCATAGCCTAGACACTTTCCATGTTAATGTATAGTGTTCATATCCAGTTTTCTTTTTAAGTTCTTTCCATTCTTTAAATCTTAGTGCAAAGTTCTCACCTTTAATTAGCAATACCTGTCTTAACATCTCAGACTAGATCAGGTTCTCTTTGTATTTGCTTTTAGAGAATCATGTTTCTTTCCTAGATAGCAATAACCATAAGTGGAATTATTGCATCATCTGTGTTCCCCACAAGGGTATAAGCTCTATGAGAACCAAGACCATGCCTACCTACTTTTGCTTTTCATTATGTAACCTGAACAAACCCCGAAACATAGACACTCATATTTGACAAATAGAGTAATGGTCACTTAATGACAGGGATATGTATGAGAAATGTGTTGTCAGGTGATTTTTGTCATGGTGCCATTGTTGAGGGTATTTACACAACCTAGATGGTATAGTCTAGTACACACCTAGGCTATATGGTCTAGCCCATTGCTCCTAGTCTACAAATACATATGGCATGTTACTCTACTGAATACTATAGGCATTTGTACACAATGGTAAGTATTTGTGTATCTAAACATAGAAAAGGTACAGTTAAGATACGGTATGAAAGATTAAAAAAAAAAGGGTCTCCTTGTATAAAGCACTTACCATGAATGTAGCTTGAAGGACTAGAAATTGCTCTGGGTGAGTCAGTAAGTGAGAGATGAGTGAATGTGAAGGCCTAGGACATTATTATACACTACTATAGACTTTACAAACACTTAGGTTACACTAAATTTAATTTTCTTTTTCTTTTGGCGCTTCATGCAGAAGACAGCAGCATCCAGTCCCAGCCTCCCCTGGGAGCAGGCAGTTGGCAACCCTGCGCTGACAGGCCTCGATCCCGAGGCCGCGTGTCCTCAGTAGGTGCCCAGACGGACTGAAGCCATGGCCATTCTTTTTGCCGTTGTTGCCAGAGGGCCCACTATCTTTGCCAAACATGCTTGGTGTGGAGGAAATGCCTGTCTTAACATCTCACCACCTTCCTGGAGGTGACAGAGCATATTCTGGCTAAGATACCTTCTGAAAATAACAAACTAAGGTACTCACATGGCAATTATTTGTTTCATTACATCTGCCAAGACAGGATTGTATATCTTTGTATCACGGATGATGATTTTGAATGTTCCCGAGACTTTAATTTTCTGAATGAGATAAAGAAGAGGTTCCAGACTGCTTATGGTTCAAGAGCACGGACAGCACTTCCATATGCCAAGGAAAGTGAGTTCTCAAGTGTCTTGGCTGCACAGCTGAAGCATCACTCTGAGAATAAGGGCCTAGACAAAGTGATGGAGACTCAACCCCAAGTGGATGAACTGAAAGGAATCATGGTCAGAAACGTAGATCTGGTAGCTCAGCGAGGAGAAAGATTGGAATTATTGATTGACAAAAAAGAAAATCTCATGGATTCTTCTGTCACCTTCAAAACTGCTAGCAGAAATCTTGCCCAAGCCATGTGTATAAAGAATCTCAAGCTCACTATCATCATTATCATCATATCAATTGTGTTCATTTGTATCATTGTCTCACCTCTCTGTGGTAGATTTACATGGCCAAGCTGTGTGAAGAAATAAGAAAGAAAAAGTTAACATTAATTAAGGATATGAGAGAACAAGGAGTTAAAAGCAATCTTTGTGACTCAAGCCTTTCACATACTGAGAGATGGTATCTGCCAGTCTCTTCAACCCTCTTCTCACTTTTTAAAATCTTGTTCTATGCCTCCAGGTTTATCTTTGTCTTATCAACCAGTTTATTCCCTTGAACTTCAGATTGAACCATTCATTGCAGCCGTAGTCTTAAAAAGGCTTCTGTTTATTTCTTTGGTTTGTTAACTAGTGTCATCTATTTAGAAAAACATTTTTGTTTTTAATTGTACAAAGCTGTGACCACTAGTCTTATGAGCTATCTACTAAAACTATGGAGAAACTTTGTATATGCACACAAAAGTATTCAAGAGACAGACAGTATTGCTAACAGCTCATCTTAATGTCTTTTGTTATTGAGAAGTTTTAGGTGCTTCAAAACAATATAAATGGATAACAGTTGTTATTTGGGGAATTGTAATGATGTTGGTGCTGCTAGCTTCTAAGAGATCAGACAAGTAAAGTATGAAACATTCTTATTTCAGTTAGATGGGAAACATTTTGCTAGCACATTAGAAGCACACAGAATTATCCTTGTCCCCATAGTATTTACTTTCAGGAATAAAGTTCAGTGTGCTGATCATTTATGATACAGATAGCTTGATATCTTCTGTTTTCCCATTACTGTTAATTTGAGAAGATGAAGGTTTAAATTTTTAAAAATTTTTTTTATGGCATTTCAGGTTTGGGGGTACATGTGAAGAACATGCAAGATAGTTGCATAGGTACACACGTGGCAGTGTGATTTGCTGCCTTCCTCCCCTTCACCTATATCTGGCATTTCAACCCAAGCTATCTCTCCCCAACTCCCCACCCCCACTGTCCCTCCCCTATTCCCCGCAACAGACCCCAGTGTGTAGTGCTCCCCTCCCTGTGTCCATGTGTTCTCATTGTTCAGCACCCGCCTATGAATGAGAACATGCAGTAATGCATTTTCTGTTCTTGTGTCAGTTTACTAAGAATGATGTTCTCCAGGTTCATGCATGTCCCTACAAAGGACATGAACTCATCATTTTTTATTGCTGCATAATATTCCATGGAGTATATGTGCCACATTTTCCCTGTCCAGTCTATCATCGATGGGCATTTGGGTTGATTCCAGGTCTTTGCTATTGTAAACAGTGCTGCAGTGAACATTCGTGTGCATGTGTCCTTATAGTAGAACAATTTATAGTCCTTTGGATATATACTCAGTAATGGGATAGCTGGGTCAAATGGAATTTCTATTTCTAGGTCATTGAGGAACCGCCACACTGTCTTCCACAATGGTTGAACTAATTTACACTCCCACCAGCAGTGTAAGAGTGTTCCTATTTCTCCACATCCTCTCCAGCATCTGTTGTCTCCAGATTTTTTAATGATCGCCATTCTAACTGGTGTGAGATGGTATCTCAATGTAGTTTTGATTTGCATTTCTCTAATGACCAGTGATGATGAGCATTTTTTCATATGTTTGTTGGCCTCATGTATGTCTCCTTTCGTAAAGTGTCTGTTCATATCCTTTGCCTATTTTTGAATGGGCTTGTTCTTTTTTTTTTTTTTTTTTGTAAATCGGTTTGAGTTCTTTGTAAATTCTGGATATCAGCCCTTTGTCAGATGGGTACACTGCAAAAATTTTTTCCTGTTCTCTTGGCTGCCGATTCACTCTAGTGACTGTTTCTTTTGCCGTGCAGAAGCTGTGGAGTTTGATTAGGTCCCATTTGTCTATTTTGGCTTTGTTGCCAGTGCTTTTGGTGTTTTGGTCATGAAGTCCTTGCCTACTCCTATGTCCTGAATGGTTTTGCCTAGATTTTCTTCTAGAGTTTTTATGGTGTTAGGTCTTATGTTTAAGTCTTTAATCCATTTGGAGTTAATTTTAGTGTAAGGTGTCAGGAAGGGGTCCAGTTTCTGCTTTCTGCACATGGCTACCCAACACTATTTATTAAACAGGGAATCCTTTCCCCATTGCTTGTTTTTGTCAGGTTTATCAAAGATTGTATGGTTGTAGATATGTTGTGTTGCCTTTGATGCCTCTGTTCTGTTCCATTAGTCTATATCTCTGTTTTGGTACCAGTACCATGCTGTTTTGATTACTGTAGCCTTGTAGTATAGTTTGAAGTCCGGTAGCGTGATGACTCACACTGTGTTCTTTTTGCTTAGAATTGACTTGGCTATGCAGGCTCTCTTTTGGTTCCATATGAAGTTTAAGGTGATTTTTTCCAGTTCTGTGAAGAAGGTTATTGGTAGCTTGATGGGGATAGCATTGAATCTGTAAATTACTTTGGGCAGTATGGCCATTTTCACGATATTGATTCTTGCTAACCATGAACCTGGAATGTTTCTCCATCTGTTTGTGTCCTCTCTTATTTCGTTGAGCAGTGGTTTGTAGTTCTCCTTGAAGAGGTCCTTTATATTCCTTATTAGTTGTATTCCTAGGTATTTTATTCTCTTTGTAGCTATTGTGAATGGCAGTTCATTCTTGATTTGGCTCTCTTTCAGTCTGTTATTGGTGTATAGGAATGCTTGTGATTTTTGCACATTGATTTTGTATCCTGAGACTTTGTTGAAGTTGCTTATCAGTTTCAGGAGATTTTAAGGTGAGACGATGGGGTCTTCTAGATATACTATCATGTCATTTGCAAATAGAGACAATTTGGCTTCCTCCTTTCCTATTTGAATACCCTTTATTTCTTTTTCTTGCCTGATTGCTCTGGCTAGAACTTCCAGTACTATATTGAATAGGAGTGGTGAGAGAGGGCATCCTTGTCTAGTGCCAGATTTCAAAGGGAATGCTTCCAGTTTTTGCCCATTCAGTATGATATTGGCTGTTGGTTTGTCATAAATAGCTTTTATTATTTTGAGATACGTTCTGTCAATACCGAGTTTATTGAGGGTTTTTAGCATAAAGCGCTGTTGAATTTTGTCAAAGGCCTTTTCTGCATCGATTGAGATAATCATGTAGTTTTTGTTTTTGGTCCTGTTTATGTGGTGAATTACGTTTATAGACTTGCATATGTTGAACCAGCCTTGCATCCCTGGGATGAATCCTACTTGATCATGATGGATAAGCTTTTTGATGTGCTGTTGCAATCGGCTTGCCAACATTTTATTGAAGGTTTTTGCATCTATGTTCATCATGGATATTGGCATGAAGTTTTCTTTTCTCGTTGGGTCTCTGCCGGGTTTTGGTATCAGGATGATGTTGGTCTCATAAAATGATTTGGGAAGGATTCCCTCTTTTTGGATTATTTGAAATAGTTTCAGAAAAAATGGTAACAGTTCCTCTTTGTGTGGCTGGTAGAATTCAGCTGTGAACCCATCTGGACCTGGGCTTTTTTGTGTGTGGTAGGCTCTTATTTGCTGCCTCAACTTCAGATCTTGTTATTCGTCTATTTATGGTTTCAACTTCTTCCTGGTTTAGGCTTGGGAGGATACAAGTGTTCAGGAATTTATCCATTTCTTCCAGGTTTACTAGTTTATGTGAATAGCATTGTTTGTAATATTCTCTGATAATGGTTTGAATTTCTGTGGAATCTGTGGTAACTTCCCCTTTATCGTTTTTTATTGCATCTATTTGGTTATTCTCTCTTTTCTTTTTTATTAATCTGGCTAATGGTCTGCCTATTTTGTTGATCTTTTTGAAAAACCAACTCCTGGATTCCTTGATTTTCTGAAGAGTTTTTCGTGTCTCTATCTCCTACAGTTCTGCTCTGATCTTAGTTATCTCTTGTCTTCTGTTCGTTTTGAGTTTTTTTGATCTTGCTCCTCTAGCTCTTTCGATTTTGACAATAGGGTGTCAATATTGGATCTCTCCACTCTTCTCATGTGGGCACTTATTGCTATATATTTTCCTCTAGAGACTGCTTTAAATGTGTCCCAGAGATTCTGGTATGTTGTGTCTTCGTTCTCGTAGGTTTCAAAGAACTTCTTTATTTCTGTCTTCATTTCATTATTTATCCAGTCAGCATTCAAGAGCCAATTTTTCAGTTTCCATGCAGCTGTGTGGTTTGGAGTTAGTTTCTGATTTCTGAGTTCTAACTTGATTGCACGGTGGTCTGAGAGACTGTTATGATTTCCATTTTTTGCATTTGCTGAGGAGTGCTTTACTTCCTATTATGTGGTCAATTTTAGAGTAGGTGTGATATGGAGCTGAGAAGATTGTATATTCTGTGGATTTGGGTTGGAGAGTTCTATAAATGTCTATCAGGTTTGCTTGTTCCAGGTCTGAGTTCAAGTCCTGGATATACTTGTTAATTTCCTGTCTGGTTGATCTGTCTAATATTGACAGTGGAGTGTTAAAGTCTCCCAGTATTATTGTGTGGGAGTCTAAGTCTCTTTGTAAGTCATTAAGAACTTGCCTTATGTATCTGGGTGCTCCTGTATTGGGTCCGTATATATTTAGGATCGTTAGCTCTTCTTGTTGTAGCGATCCTTTTACCATTATGTAATGTCCTTCTTTGTCTCTTTTGATCTTTGTTGCTTTAAGGTCTATTTTGTCGGAGATGGAAATTGCAACTCCTGCTTTTTTTGCTCTCTATTTTCTTGGTAAATCTTCCTCCATCCCTTTATTTTGAGACTTTGTGAATCCTTGTATGTGAGATGGGTTTCCTGGACACAGCACTCTGATGGGTTTTGGCTCTTTATGCAATTTGCCAGTCTGTGTCTTTTACTCGGTGCATTTAGCCCATTTACATTTAGGGTTAATATTGTTATGTGTGAATTTGATACTGCCATTTTGATGCTATCTGGCTGTTTTGCCCATTAGTTGATGCAGATTCTTCATTTTGTTGATGCTCTTTAGCATTTGGTATGTTTTTGGAGTGGCTGGTACTGGTTGTTCCTTTCTATGTGTAGTGCCTCTTTCAGGAGCTTTTGTAAAGCAGGCCTGATGGTGACACAATCTCTGAGTACTTGCTTGTTCACAAACGATTTTATTTTTTCTTCACTTATGAAGCTTAGTTTGGCTGGATATGAAATTCTGGGTTGAAAGTTCTTTTCTTTAAGGATGTTGAATATTCGCCCCCACTCTCTTCTGGCTTGTAGGGTTTCTGCCGAGAGATCTGCTTTGGGTCTGATGGGCTTCCCTTTGTGGGTGACCCGACCTTTCTCTCTGGCTGCCCTTTGCATTTTCTCTTTCATTTCAACCCTGGTGAATCTGATAGTTATGTGCCTTGGGGTTGCCCTTCTTGAGGAATATCTTTGTGGTGTTCTTTGTATTTCCTGGACTTGAATATTGGCCTGCCTTGCTAGGTTGGGGAAATTTTCCTGGATAGTATCCTGAAGAGTATTTTCCAGCTTGGATTCATTCTCTTTGTCACATTCAGGTACACTTATCCAACGTAGATTAGGTCTCTTCACATAGTCCCACATTTCTTGTAGATTTTGTTCATTCCTTTTTGTGCTGTTTTCTCTAATGTTGGCTTCTCATTTTATTTCATTGAGTTGATCTTCGACCTCTGATATCCTTTCTTCTGCTTGTTCAGTTCAGCTGTTGAAACTTGTGCATGCTTCACGAAGTTCTCGTGTTGTGTTTTTCAGCTCCAACAATTAACTCATATTCCTAAGTTGTTATCATTTCATTGAATCTTTTTTCAATGTTCTTAGTTACTTTGCATTGAGTTAGAACATGTTTTTTTAGCTCACGGAAGTTTCTCATTACCCACCTTCTGAAGTCTGATTCTGTCATTTCATCACACTC